CATGACCTGAGCCGAAGGCAGTCGCTTAACCAACTGAGCCACCCAGGCGCCCCATGTTGGAGCCTGCTTAAGATTCTCTCTCTCGCTCTCCCTTTGCCCGCCCCCTCGTGTGCACTCTCTCTTTGTCTTAAAATAAAAAAGCTTTACACCCATGGTATGCCAGGATATAGGACTTTTTAAAGAAGTTTCCCTTTAAGGTTTGTTCCTTGGTTTAGAAGTTGTAGGGCTTTGGTATTTTTTGTTGTTGTTGTTAAGCACTTTCAGAGTTCATGATTTTAGTTCAGAACTAGTAATATTGTGCCATTTTCTTCTTCCTCACAAAGATGGTTTTTGATATGTGTCAGTCTGACAATAACTGGATACTAATTCCATTGCATATGATGTTGGGCAAATTACCTGAGCTCTTTGTATCTGTTTCCTTACCTGTAGAATGACAGTAATAATGACATCTCTGCTATGGATTGAATTGTGTTCCCCTAAAGTTTGTATATTTAATTCCTAATCCCCAATGTGATGGCATTTGGAGATGGGGCCTTTGGGAGATAATTAGGTTTAGATAGGCTCCATGATGAAATTAGTGCCCTTATCATAAGAGACATCATACAGCTCACATCCTCCCTCTCCCTCTCTTTCTCTCTACCATGTAAGGACACAGGGAGAAGGAGGCTGTCCACAAGCCAGGAAGAGAGTTCTCAAGAGAACTCAACCATGCCAGCACCTTGATCTTGGACTTCTAGCCTCCAGGACTGTGAGAAAATTAATTCCTGTTGTTTAAGCCACCCAGTCTATGGTATTTTGTTATGGCAGCCAAAGCTCAGACAATCTCCCTTTCGAGTGATTGTCAGCATTAAACGAAATGGCACATGTAAAGCACTTAGACCCACGACTGACACATGACATGGCAAGTGCTTGGCAACTGTTATCCATTGTTATTAGAAGAATAGGGTTCACCTGCCAAGTAAAATGAAGGCTTTTGTTGAAAGGTGAGAGCACTTTTCTCCTGGACAACTCGGAAGACACACCAACCAGCATATTTCTGAAGACATAGTCCAACCTATTTCTGTGGAAGAATGCCAGTTGTGTCTTCCCAATGAAATAGAGTTCTCTAGGGTTCTCTAGCTGGAGTCGCCAGCATGCGGGTGTCCCTGAGAAAATGCAGGAGCATAGGGTAATCCCATTCCAGTGGCATCTCGCAGAGGCCTTCCCTGACCACTCACTCGGGCAGAGGAGCCGCCCCTCCCCCCTCCCCACTACTCTTGATCCTGTTACTCTGCTTAGTTTTCCTCATGGCATCTGAACTGACAAGCTTTGTTGTGCATTTTCTGTCTCCTCACTGGAGTGGAAGCTGCATAAGGAAAGCCTTCATTCTTTGTCCCCACTCCTGTATCCCCACTACTTGAACACTGCCTGATACATTCATCGAAGCAGTGAAGGAATTTACTACAGTGGCCAATAACATGAACTTTGGCATCAGCCTTCAAATCTTAGCTCTGTGCCACGTAGTGTGTTTGACTGGGCGCAAGTTACCTTGGTGAGCCTCAGTTTTCTCAACTGTAAAATGGAAATAGGATGAAATAAGAAAATACATAGAAAGTTTTTAGCACAGTGCCGGTATCTAGTCAGTGCTGAACTGGCTATTTTCATTTTCTTGTTCTAACCCTGACCTGGGGGAAGGGAAGGGTGATTTGTTCCCCTGAAGCACAAGAGACCGGCTTTCTCTGTGAGCCTGCCCCTGTGACAGGCCACAAAGAAACTGGGAGCAGGGCAGCAGGGAGCAGGGGAGTGGGGAGCACTCCCAATCCCACTATCCGATCCCACGAGAGGCGCTATGAGAATAAGGATGCAGACCCACCACTAAAACAAACCAACCAACCAAAAGGCAGGGGTTGGAGAGGAGGAAGGAAAAGGAAGAATTCTGGGAGGACAAAATATTCACAGTCACAATAGATGTTACTGCTACTGAGTTTCAGTTAAGCAGCTTCCAGCTCAGGCAGAAATCCTTTAGCAATTTCCCACTTCAGTGGGGGTGACCCTGCTAAGGGCTCCCAGAGAGCAAGCATTTTGCTGGACACACTCCCCTGCCCAGCTCAAAGCTTGTAGTGGGAGTAAGAAACAGACACACTCAGTACTTTTGTTTGAGAGCAAGAGGGAAGGGTGGGGAGGAGAGAATGGAGTAGCTGCTGTGCTCACATATTGATAAAATGACATTTTTTTTCTCCCATTCTTTGCATCTCTCCCCTGAATCCCTATTGAGCCTACAAGTTTTTCACTTAAATACCCAGCAGACAGCAAAATTAGCTCTTAAAACTGTATGATAAAATGAGAACACATGTTCCTTCAATATGACATGTTCATCTTGTCCATTTTTAGACTCCTTTGGCTAGTGCAGGTAGTCTTTTGCTGACAGAAGCCCAGAAAAATGCAGAGGCCACTGGAGTCACATACCCTTTCCATCACCAAGTGGTGAGTGCCGTAGGAAAGGAGAGAAAGAAAAGCCAACGAATGCTCTAACATGAAGTCACCTGGGTGTGAATTCTGGGGAGCACTCATGTGGGTCAGCCTACAAATTTATTGTTCCCATCAAATGAATCAGTTGACAGGAAAACAGTGATTTACTTGACAGGACATACACCAAATGTCTCTTTTGTAAAAACCATCCCATCACCAAAAGAAAGCAAATGTGAGGGTAGCACTTTTTAATCTGTGTTCCACACAATATTGCAGGATATTAATCAAGGTTTCAAGATTTAAAATTTTCTTGCTGCAATTAGATACATTTGAAAAACACTGACTTTTTTTTTTTTGAATTTAGACTAGTTCCTTTATTGCATAACTGCTTAGAAGATTTAATATGCTAACATACATCATGAATCTTCGTGACAGAGATAAAAGGTGCAATATTTCACAACATTATTTGACCACGGAAACCTTTTACATAAAACATCTCCCAGAAGTAGTGTCCACAAAGTTCATAGATCAGGATATCATGAGAAAGCAAGTGGCATCTTGTGAAGAAATCCATCCATATTAAGTTC